ATCATAAAACCGTTGGCTGGCGCAGTGTAGGTCAGACTCATCTACAGTCCTGCCAAATTTCATGTTGATTTGTGCAGCCGTTTTTGTGCTACAGTTGACCAAAAATCACTGGAAAAAAAAAAAGAAAAAAAAAGTACGAAAACAATTTGACTCCCGCTTACTCCCTCATAATAAAATTATTTTAATTGGCCTTAATCTTGTCTCCCCTCATTTTTGTTATGGACCATGGGCTGGCCCGTGACAATATTCTTATGAGTGTTTCACGTCATTTGTAGTCACTTTGTTTGCAAAATGTAAAAAAAAAAGTATGTTCGGATGCATCTCAATAATCTAGGTAGAAAAATCTAAAATAAAAGGTCCCCTGGACCCAAACTGTGACCAATTATACATCAGGGAAACAAAGCAGCCACTGTTCAAAGGAGTGGGCCAACGCAGAAAAGCTACATCTACAGGTCAGGACTCTGCAGTTTACACTCATCTACAGGTCACTCTTTCAGGGATGAAGATGTTCTCGTCCTTGATAGAGAAGAACGTTGGTTTGAGAGAAGACTAAAGGAAGCCATTTTGAAAAGAAAAACTGTCCATCATTAAACAGGGGTGGAAGCCTCCCCATCATGATGCTGTTATGCAACTATGACTCAGCCCTCTGTGAGCAAAAGGTGATAATCAGGGCACTAATGACCATCAGGCTGATGGTTCTCTTTTACATGTGAACAGTGTAGACTGTCATTAAACTTTTTTCTTAGGCTGAGTTCACATGAAACTCCTCAGACTAAAGAAGTCTATTGGAGGAGAAACTAAATATTTTTTCAACAAAGAAGAACTTATCCAGAGGACCTACTTAACTTTTTTTTGTCAGAAAACTACATGCTTTTATGCAGGGCTACATTTGGGCTGACATAAGTCTGACCTTTCTGTTCTGTGGCAGAACCGTGATCCATCAGTTTTGACCTGCTGTTCCTCTCTGCCTCTCAGCGGGAGGCAGGGTACGACGGTTATTCAGTGCGCCCTCAGTCAGCCTTTGTGTTACCTTGTTTACCACACTCACCTGTCAGTAACTGTAACAGGTGTTGCTTGTTTTCACTCTCCCTCCATCTGTTTTTAACCAGGCTGTTGTCCACATTTCCTCGTCCGTTCATTGTACGACTTCAGCCTTGGTCGTTTCCCTTGAGCTCCCTGGTGTTTCTGGTTTTGTAGTTTTCCCGCCTCGTCGGCCTTTGTTATATGTTTATTTTATCGAGCTTGTCTTTCCCGCCTGCGTTTTGGGTCCAATCTCGCCATGAGCTCACAATAAGTCCAGAACAGTGATGATAGATATATTAAAGACCGAGCATTTGAAGGCATGTGTATTTTCTTACAAATATATACAGTGGGTAAAATAAGTATTGAACAAGTCAACATTTTTCTCAGTAAATATATTACTAGAGGTGCTAATGACATGAAATTTTCACCAGATGTTGCTAACAACACAAGCGATCCATACATATAAAGAAATCAAACCATAAATGTCCAGAAATGAAGTTATTTGTAATAATGTGGAATGGCACAGGGAAAAAGTATTGAACACACTTACTGAAATTTTATCTAATACTTTGTACAAAAGCCTTTGTTGTCAATGACAGCTTCAAGACGCCTCCTGTATGGAGAAACTAGTGGCATGCATTGCTCAGGTGAAACAAATATTCATAATTAATTTAAATAAATTACAAGTTAAAAGAGGCGTGGAAATGTCTCTTTTTTTGTATCGAAAAATATCAAACCGTGAGACTAAAGTACCGAACCGAATCGTGAATCTTCTGTATCATTGCACACCTAATATAT